CAGGGGTGATGGCCATGCTGCAGTCCCTTCTCCTCCATTCTCCTCTTGTGATCTTGGGCACACACGCACATGCACCCAGCATGAGTTTAAGCCACTGGGTCCGGGACTTGAACCATGGTCAGCTACGTGGGAGTCCAGCAACATAGCCATTATGCTAACTGCTGGTCTTGTTTTATTAATTTGACCAGAGAGAGACACAGAGAGAGAGAGAGAGAGAAGGAAAGCGAGAAAGCAAGTCACCAGGTCTGGGACTCGAACCATGGTCGGCTATGTGGGAGTGTCCAGCACCCTTAAGCACCATGCCACCTGCTGGTCCCTAATTAACTCATTTCTAATAGTTACACGGCGGCCCCAGGTCTTCCTGCATGGAGGCCTTGCGGTAGTCTGCCCTTACGCTGTTTGTTTCCCCTAGGGAGGAGACAGAGTAGGGAAGGTGACAGGAAGGACTGCCTGATGTGCACTTTGCTGTCACCGCGGCTCCACATCCTTCATGCAGGAAGTTCTGAGATGGGTAGTCATTTATCTATGGGGCTTACTGAAAAAAAACATCCCCAAACCCTTAACCTCCAGCCATGGAAATGGCCCAGAATAAACGGCCGCGTCTGTTCAGACGCTGTAGATGCCGTTCACTTTGGAAGTCGTCTTCAGAGTTGGACATCTTTCAAAATTGATCTGGGCAAAGTCCCAGGACTGCAGGTCACTGGACAGCGTCCAGCGGCGCCTCCCAATAAAAACGGGCACTCTGGTTACCCTGACAGACACAGTGTCCTGAGGCAGAGGTGCGTGGGTGGCCGTGTGCCTGTCACCTAGGAAGTGTCTGCAAGGGTGAGTCAGAAAACTCAGACCTCTTCAGGGAGGGGGGCTTGGTGACATCAGTAGGCCACTGTTTTCTTTTCCGAGTTAATTACCTTAATATTCCACCCCTTTTGTTACTCTTTTTTATTTTTTTTATTTATTTTTATTTTTATTTATTTATTTTTTTGGAGAGATTTTCACTGTAGGGCGCGTGTGCTCGCCAGACAGACAGAGAGAGACATAGAGACAGAAAGCGAGAAATCACCCCCCAGGGGGGACGGTCACACCACAATCCCTTCTCCTCCATTCTCCTCTCGGGATCTTGGGCACGCACGCACACGCGCCCGGCGTGAGTTTTAAGCCACCGGGTCCGGGACACGAACCGCAGTTGACTACGTGGGAATCCAGCGACATAGCCATTACGCTAACTGCTGGTTCCCACTCAGTTTAATTTTAAAGAGGTTTCTGCTATAAGGTGCATGCGCTCGCCAGAAAGACAGAGACAGAGACAGAAAAGTGAGAAATCATCCCCTAGGGGGGATGGCCACGCCGTAGCTCCTCCATTCTCCTCTTGGGATCTTGGCACGCACGCACAAGCGCCCAACATGAGTTTAAGCCACCGGGTCCAGCACGTGAACCGTGGTTGACTACATGGGAGTCCAGCAACGTAGCCATTATGCCAACTGCTGGTTCCCTTTTGTTACTCTTTACCTGGGTTAATGAGAGCAGCTGTTGGGATTTCCTCATGAAAAGTGAAGTCATACATTAAAATCCACAAACTCTCATCCGTTTACATTTTTTTTTCCCCAGTACCACTGTGAGCGAGTCCCAAGGCTGCAGACCGCTTTCCGTGCCGACTTACCTTAAATGAGCTGTGCACCAGGGTCTCGTCTAAGTCGATGACCACACACTTCTTTCCATAGTCAAGCACCGTCACCTCTGGAAGGAGGTATTTAGCTGGCGGCTAAAGGGAAAACAATATTCTATTACCTTCATGGAAAAGATAAACCGAGGGTCTTAGGACTGTATTACACTATGTTGAGGGGATAAATAAAAGCAGGTATTTAAATTCCTGGTCAAGTACATCATGGGATTTTATTTAAGAACAATAGGAAAATGTTGTCTGCTGCTTAACTTTACCAAACACACACTATGCCATGATCTGAATGACTGCTATCAGAACCTAGGTTTTGAGGGACCAGCAGTTGGCGTAATGGCTATGTCGCTGGACTCCCATGTAGTCGACTGTGGTTTGAGTCCTGGACCCGCTGGCTTAAACTCATGCCGGGTGCGTGTGCGTGCGTGCCCAAGATCCCGAGAGGAGAATGGAGGAGAAGGGATTGCGGCATGGCCATCCCCCCTGGGGGGGTGATTTCTCGCTTTCTGTCTCTATGTCTCTCTCTGTCTGTCTGGCATGCGCACATACCCCATTGTGGGAGGCTGTGCACCAGCGAGTCTGCTGAGGCCATTTTTCATGAGTCTCTTACTATTGCCATCTTAGGCTCAGAGAGCAAACAATTACAAAGGCCACAACTGGCTCCCTTTCAAAAACCTCACCTTCGACACCACACTCTGATTGGCCACTTCACATAGCAAATCGGTGAGCTTAGAATCCCTCAGATTTGCATATCCGGGTACCTCATGATTGGTCCACAAAGCAACCAATCATAACCCACCTTTTGCTATCCTTCATTCAACCAATCACGGCCCACCAATGTGTATATAAGCACGATCTCT